CCGCGACAGTCGAGCGGTGTATACGTTGCTTTTAGCTTGTATCGCGCGTCCCGCCGTGTTGGTCGACGTAAGAGAGAAAAAGAGAGAAAGAGAGAGAGAGAGATAGAGGGGGGAAGAGAAAGATTTGACCAGGGCCTGAGGCACACGCGTGAGTCCTTTTCTTGGCGCTGAGAAACGAGAACGCGTGACGAAAAGCAGGTGGCGGCACGCGAGTGCCGGTTGAATCGCCGTCCACCCGCACGTGTTTTTCGGCTGTTCAGTAAAATCATCCGGCGAGAGCCAGCCGGTATCCCGGGCATCCTGTTCAGGTCGCGCGAACGTTACGTACGTATACGCGTCGGAGCACGCGATGCGAAACACGTGAGACGTCGCGTCGGTCCGTTTGTGGCGGTTACTCCAAAACATTCGTCTGATTCGTCGCGCGAGACGTTGTTTGTTTACGAGGCACAGTGGCGCCGCGTCCTCTCTCTCTCTCTCTCTCTCCTCCTTCCCTCGCGCCCGCGCTTTCTCCACTCGGCGGGAAGTTACGTTCGAGACGAGGGCAGACGAGGGTACGATGCGTCGCGCGGCTGCGACGCCGCGCCGTTCGCAGTGAGAATTTTCCTCGGATGACTTCGGACCCCTAAAAGTGCTTCATGTTCTGACTCCACGATACTGTCATTCTGTCCGAATCAGGTATCTATTTACCGAGAAAGAAGAAGACTCCGAGAACAGAATCTCAATTGTGTCACGAATCTCGCGTTTCGCGATATAGTGCGTGAAGTGAGCCGAGAAAGGAGAAACATCGAGTCGAAAATCGAATCGCGGCGGATATATCATCTATCGTTCGGCGCGTTCATCGATACGTTTCATCGACGCGAGAACGCTTCTTTGGCCCCCGCGGAGGCTCCTTGCGCTCCTGCCATAATTCAGATTAAACTGACCGTTCGTCATACGAGAAATTCGTATTAGAGGTCAGAAAGAAGACCTCTCGCCTCGTACCGTCGGTGTTACTCCGCGAAATACGCGCGGGCCGCGTCGCGGCGCGTTGCGACTTGCATCACGAGTTGCGAGTTGCGAGCGGGGCCCCCGTCTAACAAGTAACAGTACTTCCTCGCGCTCAGTGGAATAAAGCCTCTTTCCGTGGAACGGGACCCACCGCGCTCTCGGCTCTCGGCTCTCCGCCGTGCTGCGCCGGCTCCGCTCACCTCGCGCGCCGCGATCGTCCCCTCTCGCTCGCGCACCCTCGTCGTCCCGTGCTATCGTCCGCGAAGTAGTCTGGCCGGTCGGGCACGAGGGAGCCTCTCGTGAAACCAGTCCTCGCGTATATACGCCGATATACGCGTATATACGCGTACGCGCCGGTCGCTCCACACGTTACGGACCAGAAGAGGCTTTTGCCTTACGGCGCCAAGTGCTCTCCGGCTCCAGTGCGCGCCTTCCGCACCTGCTCCGCGATATACGAATATACGAGGATTTTCGGCGGCCGGCAGGAGGCAGGAGGAACGATCGAACGGTCCGGCGAGAGACGAGATCGTCGAGGGGATCAAGAGAGAGATCTGTGAGTTTAACGTCGGACAATCTCCCGGGTTTCGATCGTGCGACATTGAGGTGGGATTGACAAATCGATCGCACGAGGAAGAGGAAGAAGGAAGGAAGGAAGAATCGTATCCTGCCCGCCATATTTCGTTGCTTTTTGAAACGCCCGCGGAAAATCGAGGGAGGGCGACAGGTGTCCGTTTCGTCGGTGCCAACTGCATCACTTTTTAAGGTGTTGGCTGTCTCTCTTTGTAACTCCCGAAACGCGCCCCGATCGACCACGAGTCCTATATTTCCTCGTGGAGGCTTACCTTGGTTTTTCGGAAATTCATGGTACTGTAACTTGTCTTTGTAGGTTGGAAATTTACTAAGGGAATACGGAGAAGACCACGAGGAGCACATTGATTGTGTCTCAGAGATCAACTTACGATTTTAAAATAATACAAATATACGACAATCATTTATCCGAGGACTGTCATTAGCATCTCATTATCGCAAAAAGTTGGCTGTATTGTCTTCGTCTGGAGGAAGGAGCCCCAATTGAATGAAGATTAATTTATACCGATCTTAAAACAACAAATATTCGACAATCATTTATCCAAAGACTGTCATTAGCATCTCAGAGAAGCTGGTTTGTCTTCATTCGGAGGAAGGAGCTACAATTGAGAGAAGACGAAGATTAATTTACGCCGATTATAAAACAGCAAATATTCGACAATCATTTATCCGAAGACTCTCTCTCTCTCTCTCCCTCTCTCTCTCTTTCTGTCTCTTTCTGTCTCGTCAGTAATTTATTATTATCGCAAAAAGCTGACTGTGTTGTCTTAATCTGAAAAGACAGGAGCCATAATTAAAAAAAGATCAATTCACGCCGATCCTAAAACAACAAACATTCAACACTTAATTATCCGAGGACTGTCATTAGCAACTCATTATTGTCGCCAGAAGATTGCATTATCTTCGTCTGGAGGCGGAATTGGCAGGCCACAATTAAAAGAAGATGAGCAAAACGGTTTATGCGTAAAGTTCGGCGACGGGCGTGAATTTGAAAAATCGACGTCGGGATATTCGGTTGCTCGGACTCGACGCGGAGCGGTCGACGTTTGATCGTCGAAACGTATCGGAAAGCAGGTTAGCGATCCCATCTCGTTAGCGGGTTGCTCGCGCGATGCTCGCGTCGGCGCGTGACGCCCGTGTCTCGCCGTCCTCGCCGACCGGCGCCGCGTGCGCGATTCCGTGCTCACCGTGCCGATTTCCGGCGGATAGAGCGAGCGAGGAAGTCGATACGGGGAGATCAGCGGCCGTTCCGGAAAGGAACCTGGATTCCTGAAAAGGATCTCCCTGGGAAGCAAAAAAAAGAGAGTAAGAGGAACGGAGTTACATGGTATATATATTTAAGGTATATTTAGAAAAAAGTAATTTAATGATATCATTATAAGAAAGTAATACGAAATCGAGATAGAGAGTCCTCCAAGAATATTAACTGTGGACAAACCATACGGTTAGCTGATATATTTGGAGTCTATAGTTTCGGTGGATGCCATTCACGCTTACGCGCGGATTTGGAAGGATTACATGCAGCAACGAGGAGAGCGGGAAGTGCGAATGGACCTCCGCAAAATCAGAGGTTAACCGGGGAGAAAGAGGAAAAGGTAGAGGAAGATATAGAGGACGGGTTGCGAGGCCTTTCGCCGCTCGCGACCTAAGTTTCTCGGTCGTCCGCGAGTCCCACTGATCTAATTCGCGGCGCTCTTTTACACCTCGCGGTGCTCCGGTGAAGGTGTCGATCGTCGGTCAACTACTTCCGTTCAAAAGGAGAAGGTTCCTAAGCGTCCGAAAGAAAATCATCCTGGTGCTCGTAAGGAAACGCAGGAGAGACTTAATAATTTAACTTGTATAATTTACTTAAATGCTAAAATAATAGGAAACCTCGAAAAGTCGACAGCAACGCGAAGGTGTGACCTCCCTGTGGTGTTTTAATTTTGCGACCGTGATTTTCGCGAGATGTTAATGTGATCCAAGTGCGTGCGAGGATATTTCGCCGATTCTTCTACGTTTTGCCAGTGAGTTTTCGATACTTATTAATAATAACCGTACAATTGTTCCGCGTATCGACGAACTTCTCGCCAGTGTTTCGAATCCCGCGGCTGATTACCGAGTGTGACGAATCGCAGGGAAGCAGCTGTGAGCGGAGCGAAGAGGAAGGAGGCAGACAAATCGCGCGGATAGGAGACGGACGGTGAAAGAAGATACCATTTGGAGCGGAAGACAGGACGTTCATCGAAGATGAAGACCACACAACGAGCTCTAAGGTGAGTCTCTCTCTCTCCGCATGAAAGCCCTAAAGAATAGTCCGTTTATCCGCAATCGTTTACCGTATTCGCGCTGCATGCTTAACGATAACAGTATGTACAGGCGTACCTGTTCGTAACGAAGGCCGTTGTTCTGCCGCCATAATGAGCCGCACGTGCCGTTGTAAAATACGGGAGAACCGACACGCGGCTGGATTCCGGCCTCTCACGAGTGGTGAACGCATGCTGATCTTTCATTTAGCAAGCTGTTTCGAGCGATACGTTTTCCTCATTGCTGGAGATCTCTCGAAAGTCTCTTTGAAACCGCGATTAAAATGACCAGATTTCTAAACTGAAACACGAAGGTTTCAGGTCGAATTGCTCGGAGTTATTCTCGCTTGAGAAGCAAACACGAGAGAGAGAGAGAGAGAGAGAGAGAGAGAGAGAGAAATATTTTTATAAACTGAAATTATCATTCGTGTAGTTTCGACTTGAGAAAGAAACAAATTTAAATTTTATACAGTATTACGTATATATAAATATATAGAATTGAGTAATATTTATCTTCTAGTTACGTTTGTTTCAGAGTCGAAGAATATTAAAATATGTATATTTTCTTGACGATGAACACGAATAATTTATCGTGAGGCACACGCCTCTCTCGTGTTACGCTCTATCAACTACAGAAATCGCTTTCGATTCTTATCACATTGACTTGAAGTCTAAATGGAGAAGACAGCGTTAATAATTAACAAATCCGAGATGATTTACCAATGTTGCATGCCTGCCAATCTTATGTGCATGCGATAAGGATAATAACGTATAGCGCGTCAAGAGGTTCATTTTGATAATTATTTATTTTCGTTAAAATAAACTAGCCACGCCATAGTAATTGGCCGCCAATCAAAGTAATTACGTGCTGCTATATAGCTATAATGTTCGCGAAACGACTCGACGCCTATGGGGCTTATACATTACTTTTTGTTACCATATGTAGGACTCGGGACGCTTCTCTCTTTCTCTCTCTTTCTTTCTCATTGCGCAAGTTAATTTAAGCACGTTTAAAACGACCGGTCGATCGCTTCGCGACTACCTTCAGCCACTTTTATATCCTGAACGTTTATTTCGCCGTATATCTCACCGTCGATCATTTTGCTTTTCCTCGGCGACGATACCATCATAGAGAGATATAAATGTCGATCGTTCATAAAGCAAACGCCAATGACGATAAAGCGTAGTTTAATACCTTAGATGTGCCAACGATAATAATCTTGTATCCTTGTGAGAATCATAATTTTATCGTGAAAAATAAGGGAAAAAGGTGCAGTTGGAATAACAATTTTTAAGTTGATGGAAAAAGAGAAATATATACATCATATGTGTATTTATATGATTAATGAGTTAATCATTGCACGGATTTTCATAAATGGAATATACACATATCGAGGTATAGAGAGCAATGTCATTCATTTCCGAGTAATTATCTGACAAAATATTTTTATTTTGATAAACGATTAATATCGACTTGTATTATTCGAACATCATCTTCGCTGAGTATGATAAGCACATTTAAAGTTCCTCGATGCTAAACTAGGGTAATTGTCCCTATTAATGTGTCTTTTAGCCAACTTGCTTATTACTGAATTAATTATTAAATATTGTAGCTTTAATTTTATCTGCTTGCAATCAATGTGGGATTTTCAACTATTTCTTTTTCTTATAATATTTCTTTAATCTAAAAAATGTTAATACTTTATAATATTTTTGACAAAAATAAAAAACATATTTTTGTCCCTATTAGTGAGTCCTCCAAGCGGCGATGGTCCTATTAATGTGCCCCCAATTTGTGTGCCTATCCACATTTGACTCATTTTAACATTAGTTACTAAAACAGGTAATCAATTTAAGCTATAATTGTTTAAGTTAATATTACATAAATTATTATTTCAATTATATTTATTTTAATGTACACTTATAACACAACGTTCTCAGCTCTAATATAGGGCACATTAATAAGGACAAGTTTAAAATCTTGCGGTACGTATTACTAGATTCACATAAATTCCTCATATCTTTTGAAAAATATTTAAAATACTTTAATACTCAAAAAATAAAATATTATCTTCGGTATCGTATGCATTAATAATTTAACTTAACAAGAAAAAATATTTTTTCTTATTTATTCGGGCTAATTTTCTTTATGACTTATCGAAATACAAAAGCACCCTAATAGGGACAGGCATAGTAATTGGGATAGTTACCCTACGAATATTCTGAGAAATAGCATTTTGTTCTTAGAGAGAGAGAGAGAGAGAAAATTTAATATTGTTATTCGCGAAGAGATTTGCAAATCAGTAAAGTCGAATATTTTATTTTTATAAAGCTGACACTTTATTTAAAATTTTTTTTTAATTTTGATGTATAAATCGTAAAATTTTAGTTCTGTCAGGCGTTTTAAAAAGTTAAAAAGAATTAGGCGATTAAATGTGAAAAATAATAATCTAAATAATAATAAATAAATTTAAAATTGATATTCACATCTTTAGGTACATTTAAGTTAAACGAAAATTAGCGATAATTTTTTTATTTCAATAAGAATCAATATAAATTATGATAGAAGTTTTGAGTCGTTATTTAGAATTCAAAAGAATATGACAGATTTTTGGAAATTATTTTTAATCTGGGGAAACTTGGAAATTTTTTTGACGAACAAAAAAGTCATTGGAAATATTGGTTTTTATTTCGAATAATGCTAATAAGAGAAATTTTTTTGAAATTTATTAGAAACTTGTTAGACTTTATAGTTAATGAATTAGAATTTCAAGTTAGCAATATGTTGAAAATAATGGATGGAATTCAGATTATTTAGCTGAAACAGATCGATCGTATTACGAAATGTTCTTTTTTATTTAATTACGTGTCACGTTGAAATTACATACAAATGCGCACCGTTTGATGATACACCTACAATGTTGTTATTAATAAACATAATATCATACCAAATATAACCTTGCAATACCAAGGCTATTATTTAACGCTACGTCGGCGAAATTCAACGCGGATCAGAATCAGCTCTACATAAATTTGGCGAGTTCAGCTTTCATTGTTGCAAATACTAAACAATCATTTCTCTATATGTACTCATTAAAACGAAAATACGATTAGCGTACTTATGAACATCGAAAATTGAATTCACTAATAATTTTGTTCTAAATATTAGAATATTAATAAAAATTAACGATAGAATTATTGAGTTGTTATTGTAATACTATTCAAATACTTAATATGAATGCTTTTCTTGACAATATTCATTTGTCTAATATGACATAAATATACTTGAAATTTTTATTATTTCTCATAGTAACAATTACATAATAATTAATATAATAATTTTATTAACAATAAAATGTAAAAAATAATTACATATAATAATATGTAATATAATATGTAATGTAAATAAAAGTATAATAGCATCAAAATTCTATGTGCATCATTGTTAATAATTGTACAGGGAGGAGACAAAACTTACGGTATAACCAGCATTCTATTTTAATGATCCAACAAAATTATTTTCAGATCTATATTTAACTAAATTTTTAGATACTTTAGTAAATCATTTTTTCCGTGTGTGTGTATAATATATTTGTTTTCATCCTATATTTAGGCAATATTTGGATAATATTATATAACTTTTAGCCAATAATTTATCTTTCGGTGCAATTTCTCATATTTCTATTCGTCGTCACTTTGATTCTGGTTCTCGATGAGATTCGTCGGATACAATTCGGGTAAAAAGTAGCGATCGAGAATTGCCAGAGCGTGAAGCACGGATACGATACGACAAACGCCCCTGCGGGCTAGCAGTATGTATGCGTATATACGTATAGATGGAAATGTTACGCTTCCCCGCTCCGCTGTCGGTGGCTTTGCATCGAAAATGTCAGGTGGCGGATGACGACTCTGGCTTCAACACAACTCGACTCGATCGTTCTCGTTTGACTCGCGGCTGCAACACGCGAGACATCTGCGGCAAATTGAAATGCTAATTTGAAAGGCACCCCTGGTTTCCCTCCTTCGTCCAGTAAATTCTGCCTCTATTTTTTGTAAATATTTGCCACCGCGAGAAACAAGACGGACTTTCCCAAGCGCGGCCCGATATTTTGCGGTCAATATCGTAAAAGCCGTGTGGTTTGCATCAGATCGAAAATCTATATTTAGGTAAAATAAAACTGTTTGCTATTATTATTTTCTTTGCAATGTTTGTATAATGCTCCGTTTTGATGCAGTTGATGCTCTGAGCGATGTTTTTACACAAATGAACTGGTTATTTGAAAAAATTTCAACGCTTATCATGGTTTTATGGAGATTTTGTTTTTATTTTTTTAATGTATTGTTCTAGATAGAAATCCCATATATATATATGTTGTAGCGTTAATTTTTAAAAGTATAAAAAAAATAAATCCGGAAAGATAAATGTTTTTATTGCGTCAAATACTAGTTTTTTGATAATATATTATATAATTATATATAATACTATACGTTTAATGAAAATTATTTCATTGGACGTATAATATCATAGATTTATATAATTGATTGTAATGTAAAATAATACCTTCGATAATACGTTATTTATATAACATTTCATGTTTGATACATGAAATATGCAACTTTTTATACATATAATATATATGTAGTTGCATATTTAACTTTATATAGATATACAATATATTATATACTATATCACTTTTAAAACCTATACACGTGAGTTTCCTTATTATTATTATTATAATCATGTTATTTACGTAGGAAGTGGCTGCATTTCTCTTTCTAGCTCCTTTCTAAATAAATTAATATTTTTTTTATTAGGATAAATATGTCATAAAGTAAAGGAATAATGCAACGATTAGCGGACAATAATAGTGATTTTGTAAATTGGAAAGTGATGTTTTAACAATCGATTTGAAGGCAAGATCGATTCATCAGCGAGAATTAGAAAGTAAGAAAAATGTTGAGTAAGAATG